GTATATGCTGAGTTAATACGTATTTACATATATTTATTTATCTATGGATAATAATACACAAACTGTAAAAATGAGATGAGTAAACAATATACGTATTACAAACATAATTGTATCAATATTTTAAACTAATATTGCTACAACATTACTAAAGTAATATTGTAAAATAATGTCTCTGCAATATCTATGCAACATTACACTGCAATATGCAATGTAGCAATGTTGCAGCAATGTTGCTGCAAGCTTCTTTGCTTGTATGGGTATCGACGTCGAAAATTTGCTTCTACTTTCACGATTCATGCCCGTTCTACACCTAGGGATGATCCTACTTGTGGCTCATCCGAGTAGAGAAGTTTACACGGGCATTTTAGTATGACTGTCATACTAAGGACCAGTTTCACAAACGTCGGTTAACTGCTAACCGAAGGTTAATTGATCCTCTGTCTCTTCTTAGAGAACAAGATAGAAAAAGATAGGGTGTTGACTGAACTCTGGTTAACAGTTAACCAGAGTACAGTCAACTCCCTATATCTTTCTATCTTATTGTCTAAATAACAGACAGAGAATCAATTAACCTTCGGTTAGCAGTTAACCGTCATTTGTGAAACTCGCCCTTAGTATAGTTTTTGTATTATATGATTTTACTATGATTTTTAACCGTCTTCTTATGTAGAAATGGCACCCGAGTCTATAAACGGTCTCAATACGACGATCTTCGTCCATTCATTTACTCACTCGGATGAGCCATAAGTAGGATCATCCCCTAGGTGTAGAACGGGCATCCAGAGATCGGGCGCCAATCAATATTATCGCGCGCAATTCGAGAATTGGCTCCCTCGGCGTTATCGAACGGGCAGTCGTTATCACGAAACTGACGATCGCCCGCGATACCGGTAGCGATAATGAGACGCGTACTTTAATCGCGTTCCGCGCACCGCGGAACGCAGTTAATCTTCGTTATTGAAAGCGCGTCGTGACGTCGACGCGTAATCGTTACACACGGCGCGAGATGGACGCGAGCAATTTTGATCAATGTAACAGTTTCCTCAAACGAGCGGAACGCCTCCGACCTGCTCTTGCGAGCGCGAGCGTACCGTTTACGCGAGTCAGTCTCGCTTAGGTCGAAAAGCGGTCCTCGTTTCGGGAACGAAATCACCGGGCTGAAGAGCGGGCATGCTTCTTGCTTATTTTTTCCCCAAAAACAGCCAATTTCGTGTAATCTTCTTGCGAGAGCGGGGCGTGGCTCGGACCACAGGGATACTTTGGTAGGCAACTGCGACGTGTGTCATTAACCGAATCCTTCAACCGACCGTGGTCGGTCTCTGCTTCCTCCCTTTTCCAAGTTGAATGAATAAGTTTAGAATTACGAAGGTGCGGCCCCGCTGGACTGGCCGTGAGTTAATGACACGCGTAGCAATAATCTCCAATACGTTACGTCTTGATGCTCGTTGTGAAAAACTCCAGAGGATCGAAGAACATATGCGGCCCGATTGACGTGACATCAACATCGGACACCGTGGAGTCGTCGAGTGCAGTTTCTCTAATGTCACGACGACTCTCCGGGATTTCTCACGCATCTTTCGCTATCATCTCGCGCAAGGTACGCGTGTGACCTACATGTTGAGCAGTACTAAAATACTGAAGATCATGTTACATGGGGGCATAAGTGTTTAACATTAAAGGCGACTCGAGCATCTCACGAATTTTTTCAATATTTTCTTTGCATCGGGAGAACGTGAGAAACGTCTTGATCGCTGAAGACAGCTCAGAACGCAGTCGAAGCATCCGTTAATTCTATCGCGTTAATCGCGCCCGGACAGCACGCATGTCTAAAAAAAACATCTCTAATGTCCGTTTCTACCAATTCAGGTTAACTTTAATCTCGGTTTAAATCACTTCTTATCTTTTTCTAATTCGTAAAGCTAGAAAAAGTCAAGCAAACGGCACACGCTTACCGAGAGCCAATCAGAATCCAGCCTCAAGTCACCTGATCTAAAATTCTGCATCCTTATTGGCTTAAGTTAAACCGAGATTAAACTGCGTTGGTAGAACCGGGCATAAGACGTCTTTAAGTTGTCCTCAGTCCCACTCTACAATAGATGATTTCAGTCCTAAGCCTTCAGAAATAGGCTAATTACAATCGAGTATTCTTCTCATTCTCAACGGTGATTGGACAGTTTCTTAGCGTTTAAATCATCTATTGTAGACTGGGACTTGGGGCTTGAGCAGAATGGCCGTCTTGTACCCTTAAGACAATGTTTTATGGTTTTAAATCTTTGTTTTAAAGTAAGGACCTGAGCAGAAGGGCTGTCTTGTTCTCTTAAAACAATGTTTTGTGTTTTAAATCCTTGTCTTAAAGTAACGCACAGTAACCGTCTTGTGTCTTAGGCGTACAAGACAGTCGTTCTGCTCCGGCCCTTAGACACGTGTGTCTAACGATGTCTCAAAGATGTTTTTACGACGTCTTTAAGACATGTGTGCTGTCTAGGCGCGTTTTGAGAGTTGTTATTATTCTATCCTCACTCCTTACGTCCGCAACGCGCACGCCGTGCACACTGCGACGCCTTAATAGAACAAGAAATCGCCAAGTGTCTCCGGCGGCGCGAGACCCGATCGCGCAAGAACGTAAGAACCGGGATGCAGGCGCAAGAGCGTTTTAGTACCGCGCTATTAAGCGGCTAATCTATTTCAAAATTAATGTCGGAACACAGAGCCGATATTATCGCGGCAAGACCAGTCTGTCCGGTCGGCGATTGTCGGACCGGCAGCGCGCGTGCTCTCCCGCGGCGTTTGCCGAACGGCGATAGACAAACGTCGCAAATTGATACGAGTCCGTCCTCGCGCGGACGTGACGCGCGATCAGCCGTGAACGCGTCTTCGACTACGAGGTGGAGGCCCCATCTGCCGTCGTCACCCCACCGCCGCCCGGCTGTTCCCGCCGCAGAATCATCCTCCACTTCCGCCTGGCTTGGCAGCCACTCCTCTCAGCAGCCTCCGTTGATACTTCCTCTCGCGCGCGTGTATCTCGTCAGTCGGCCTGGAGCCACGTGCGTGTGCTTGCTCGAGTGGCTCCGGCGCGGGCGGCACGTCGGTCAGTGTCATTTCGTGCCGATGAATCGCGCGATCGGGCCGCATCCTTGCCGCGCTTCCGCTGACGGATGAACGTCCTTGCGCGGGACCACCGCATCTCCCGATTCATTCGTCTTTAGAGTCGATCGAGGAGGAAGCTGGTCGTAGATAATCCAACTTGCGGTGGATTAAGAGATGAAATAAAAAGATATACGCGGGATTGCAATTACAGACGAGGAAACTGTCGACGAAGCTGAGGAGCAACGGAAGAGCAGCTTTCTTGATTAATCTGTGTCGAGACGTGTTCAGGCCGTGAGGCGCGAGGAACTAAAGATGTTAAACGTTAGTCTGCGGAGAAATGTGGCGCGATATTAATGAGACGCTCGTACGTGTGCAACAAGTTCGAGATCCAGTAACTCGCGAAGAACGCAATCGCGCATCGAATACCGACTCAAAGGAAGACCGAAATACCTCATCGCGGGTTCATCGATCAAGCTTTACCGAGACGCGGCGTGATTCGCCGCCGATACGCCGGCGAATACGCGGGAGAGTGCTTCGGGGAAGAACAAAGATATCACCGCGAGCTGAGAGCGACTAGGTAGCTCTCAAAGGTGAAGACAGACAGTCGGTTGGAAGTCGGGAGAACTAAAAATATCAGCCGGTTCCGCGGTCGGAACCCGACGGCGCGGCCCCGCCACGTCGTATTCCACGCTGGACAATTTTACCGGCTGGAGAGAAGAGACGATATCTTCATGCGAGAGCCACGGCTCGCCTTTTAATCTCGCGAACGGCGGCGATTCGTGGTAAACGACTACCTATCGGGCGCGATCGTTATTGCAACGAGCCCGCCGATAGACCGGACATTCACGCGAAACGCGATCGCGCCGCGTAATCTGCAGTGGGCTCGTCTCTTCGTCTACTACCACCATTCCGTCGTCTGCTATTGCTGTAAACTCGTTGAAGATAACGTCGCGAGTGGCAGGTACAGTCATGGAATTGAAACGCGAAGACGGAGGCTATTGTAGGAAGATAATAGGTCCATCTAGACACCTGATGTTCGGCGTAGAGGAAGGTCTCCTATTACGAGATAGGCTTATAATGTGAGATAGCAGGTTTTCCACGGCCAAGTTCAATCACAAATCCATTTCGCGACGATCACACGATCCAACGATGAATTTTCCACTGACCAGATTTCACTTTAGGAACAATAAATTCATGGTGCAAAAATCCTGATCAACCCACGCAGCGCAGAAAGATTGCAGGAAGATTGCAGAAATGTTACATTGCAAGATTGCAATATTGCAGCAACGTTGCGCAACATTGCTGCAACGTTTCTGGAGGATTGCAGCAACGTTGAAATGTCCGCCCTCAGAGAGATTGCAGTGCAACATTATAGCAATGTTGCAGTGCAATATTTTTGGAATAATTTGTCGTTGTTTACATAAGCAGAGAATTTACTAATTACATATGCGTCCGGGCCTTTTTCAATACACAGCAAGCTATTACGAAGCAACCTAAGGAGATTACTGTCGCTTCGCAATAGATGGAGATTGCGAGCAACACCGCACTGATCAAGTACTTAATAATTCGCGCATTATTGGTATCAACGAAAATAACATTATAAAATTCTCGTAATTAGAAAAACTTTTTAATTAGACAATATAGTATTTTTATTATTTTGGAAACATTGCTGCAATATTGCTATCGAAAGTTTGCAATTTTATATCCCTGCAATGTCTCTGCAAGATTGCAACGTTTCTGCAATGTAACTGCAACCATCTGCGCTGTATGGGAATAGATGATGCTTGTTAATTTAGTAGAAACCCTGCTATCTCACAGTAGGAACTTGTTTCATAATAGGGGACTTTCCTCCAATAGCAAAATATTGATTTGTAATAATTTCCTTACGACGAAATAGGTAAAGCAAGTAAAAGCTGTTCGCTACCGCTTGTCGCGCTTACATTTAATGTCGACCGTTCCCGTTTCTCGCTTTCGTCCTACTCGTCTGTTACCTCGTGATCGACTCTCTCGCGTGAGGTCCACCGTTCTCCCGCTCGCTCTAGAATTCGATCTCCTGTTTGCAAATAGTAGCATATGAAAGCATAACTTGTCCGTCAACAGTAACGTCATCGGATGACTCGACTCCCAGATAACAATTCTTGCGCGCAAATTTTGCTTGTCTTACGCGAACTTGTACGAGATCTGTTTGAGTTTCGCTCACGAGATATGCCTAGCCTGTGCTTTCGCACACAAGTGGTTAGCTCATGTTTCAACGTATAATTTTGCGCGCAAATATCTAACGACTCACGTAGAAAGATGGCTCAGCAACGCAAGCAAAATCCTGTGCCAGTCCAGTCAGAAATGACTCGTCAATCGATGTCGAAACGACGTCGAATCGACGTCAATATGACGGTTTCGATGTCCATACGACGTCGTTTCGACGTCGATCGACGAGACATTTCTGACTAGGAGTGCGTCGTCGTAATGCTAGATATTCGTGCGCAAAATGTTCCTGGGCTGTTAGCAGTGTTGTGCTAGATGATTTTAAAATTAGCTAGATAAAGATAAGATAAAAATATATAAATTTATCTTAGATAAGATAAAGATGATTTCGTTTTGAATATATCTAGATAAAAGATAAAATTATATGATGATTCATCTAGATAATTTTCAGATAATATTTTTAAGACTTCATGTAAACACAGTAGAAAAAGTTATAAAAAAATAATAGAAAAATTTGAATTATAAAGGGGGATATAGAATATATCCAGGTTATAGGTTATATGACACACACATAAATGCATGGTCTACAACGCCATCCATATTTAAATAGTGTAACTGTTAAGTATTTTTATGTGGCCCTAAACCAAATTATCTGTACGTTATCTTATTGTTAGATAATTTAGTAAAGATAACACTTTCTTTCATCTAAGATGCAGATATAGATAATACTTATTTTTATTATCTATATAAAGATAAGATAACGCTAAAATTTTATCTAGATAATCATCTATATAATTTTATTTAGATAACAGCAAACACTGGCTGTTAGCCTAGTAGCACAGTGCATTGGCTAAACGTTGGCCCAATACAAGCAAATATTGGGCCAATGTTTAACCAACGTTCGGTCGATGCACTGTGCCACTAGGGTACATCCCTACACTATTGGCGCCTATCGATCAATATTGATGCACCGATCGCTCTTCGCAACTTTGGGCTATTTATTCCCTCGGAACACGTTGAAGCACCGGGGTGAGATCTCCCCCGTTGGCGCACGTTATTTAGGGAGCCGAGGTATATATAACGAAAACCCGTGTTCTTTAAGGGGTACGGACGTCAAGTGCGATCTTTTGATCTCGTAACGATTTGCACGCGAGAATGAGACGTCAAACGGTTTCGTTGGATACAAACTGGTCGAAATGCATGAAATGTATATTTTTTTACATTATTCGTTTCTCGGCCGGTCGACTCGAGCGCCGGCTGGAAGAGATATAAATCATGCCGCGCTATAACAGGAATCTTCGCGGCGCGTGTGAAATACGCGGGACATGATTGCTGGAATTATCACTGAAGTCCTGGTTGGGATCGAGCGCACGTCACGAAGTTTTCACTCCCGTATAAAGTGACTTCTACAAATTGTTGAAATAAAATTAATGTGACTCGTCTGAGTAATTGCCTCAATAGATGCGATCATAGCTGCCTCGTCTGCATAACTTCTTAGAAAGCAATCTGCAACTTTCTCCCCGGTCCCAGCGTCTTTACGCTGTTAATTCACCTAAAGATCTGTCTATATTGGCTTTCAGATCGGGTGCGGACTTGGGACACAGTGTCAAGGCCAAGAGAGCCTATCGTATCTCGGGACGGACTCGACGACGTCGGTGGTGGCTCGACGGAGGACCGAGCCTCGGAGTCTACCCGGGCTCCTCCAGCGGCGGTATTTCACGGCGCGGTTGTTTGAAATTCTTCGCGTGGAGCCGCGGCTGTATTTATAGACCCGCGTGTGGCGGCGCGTAGGGCACGCGCGTACACGCGCGTAGCTCCCCTCGTCCTCCGCGCCGAGGGCGGGTAGGTGGGTAGGTAGATTACGTGCCGGGACACGGCCGTCGAGCCCGAGCTACGTCGGGCCCACGTTCGCGGGAAGCGGGCGGCAACACGTCGCGATCATGACGCGATGCGTCCGCGACGGGAACACCACCGGCCCGCCACGCATCCGACGAACGCGTCCCCGTCGCCGTCGCACCGTCTACGCACGTCGCCCCGCTGGCTGCGATCCGCCGCTCCACTTCCGGGCATGATCGCCGGCGATGTCGCGACCCTTCGAGTCTTCGTCGTCTTGCTCGCCCTCGGTTACGCCCTCGCCGCCAGCAGCCCGGTAAGTGCACCTTGGCTAAGTACTAACGAGAAGTATCGCAACCGCAACATTGCGATTCTTCAGACTTCTACGGTAGTTTTCATTCAGGATCGTTGCTTGCAGGTGGCAAAATGTTAAATGCAAGTTACGTAGATTGTAGTTTCATATTGCTCTTTTTAAGGGTCGGTCGAGGGGAAAACCGCCGAGGCCATGCCCCAGCAAGGCCTAATTGCCCGAACTAATACCCAAAAATGCCCAGTAATTCCTAGTAGTGCCCAGTAATGCCGCAAATCTGTACAATATCCTCAGCGGTTTCCCCCTCGGCCGACCCTAATGTCCATATCTGCCAATGCAGATTAACTTCGATCTCAGCTTAAGTTACTTTTTATCTTTTTCTAGTTTCTGAAATTGAAAAAAAAGATAGAGACTTAGTTATCGGAACTAAAGTTAATCTGCATTGGTAGAAATGTGCATAAATCTAGTAACATTGGAAGGTGAATACAACTAAAAAAATACAGCTGGAATATTTATTGGTGCTGCAAATATACAATTTTATTTTACCACAATTCTTCGTATTACTTGTCGTCAATGATATCGAGATATACTGAACTGAAATGATATTTAAATTGAGCGCGGTGAAGAAAATTTTAGATTAAAATATTGTATGAAAAAAAAGATCATTACGTTGATGGCGAAAGTATGGGATGGGTGCGCAGGCTGCCACGCTGTTTCTTCGATGAATTTGAGATCGATTCTTCGTCAGATTAATTATTGGAGTGGACATTTTTGCGAGACTTACAATTAGAAGCCGGGCGGAATCACGTCATTAGTTGAAGAGATTCTGGTAATTGCTGACTGCAGCGCGGACGTGGACAATAGTTTTCGCAATTATGATACGTTTAGCCTGTGGGGATGCAGAAGTATCGACTTCGTATTATATTACGGGAAGCAAGGACTTTCCTGGCGGATCGATTATTGATCGTAAAATCGCTTAGTCAGGAAAAACGGGGTATTACGCGTGTACCTTGTACCCGGCTAATGCACTGTAATTTTGGATGTTTATCGTATATGAGTTTACTTAATTGGTTTACCGAATCGTATCTGGTAATATCTAACCGGCAGTCAGTTAATGCGCACCGTAATTTCAGAAAGCGCGTGTAATCTCGCGCTTCAAATTTGATGTAGAATAAATTGATATTGACCTGAATAACACGAATTTGCGAAAGATTATATTTAATCTCGAGTCCCCGCTGCACTTGTACAGGCTGTATACTATAATTTTATATGTTCGTTATTTATTCACTTAAATCTTAATTAATAAATTAGAACGCAGACGCATGCTTTTAAATTTATTCAACGGAATCGAAATTAAACGAGGGGTTTTGCACAAAGAATTAATATTGTCGAATGCGCGTGCTCAGTGCACAGAGAATATTCTCATACCAAATTCATCTTAAACAGACCCGGATTAATGTAGTCCAATTTATCAAAAGTAAATTGGTGATTAGTAGGTAGATTAAGGAAGACGGAAAGGTTCAAGAGGCCTAAAGCAACCGATAAAGCATCGTGTCAGCAGGAACCTAGCAATACTAGCGCAATTACCGACCAAAGCGGAGAAACCTCGTTTTAGTTAAGCACGTCGGGATAATTACTGTAATTTCGTTTCGTGGCCATTCTTAGGCTGCAATAATCATTTACAGTTTCGAGGTTAATATGCCGACACGTAAACTAGTTCTATCGCTAGCCGGCCGGTAATAACATTGCTCGAAATCCTCGTTTTACTGTAATCACCACGATTTAAAAAGAGCCACGGTTTAGGCGCGCGGGAATCGCGAGGTATTTATATTTCGCAAAACACAAGGTTCCGTTACGAGCAAGCGCTGAAGTAGGCACGCTGAAAATTATATGAACTCTGTGTAAGGTGAACTTTAGTCGGGCAAAATGTAATACGTATCGCGAGAAAACGCGGAAGTATGAACTAAAATCACACACATACACACACACACACACACACACACTTAAAAATTTTATAGTTTAGAAGGGATAAGAGTTTCTGGCTCTTCGACGTAAAATTAAAAATTTATCACATTGTTTTAAAGATCTTTACCGAGGGGGAAACCGCTGACCAAAATTTTGTACATCAATGCCCAGTGGGCATTACTTTATCTTATTATCTTATTTTATCTCATTTATCTTGTTTTATCTTATTTTATCTTATTTTATCTTTTAATGCCCCAGCAAGGCCTCATGCTCAAACTAATGCCTCAAAAATGCCTAGTAATGCCCAGTAATGCCGCAAATCTGTACACCACAATGCCCTCAGCGGTTTCCCCCTCGATCTTTACTAAATATAAAAATAATTATTGCGACTCATTAAGTTCTGAAGAGTGATAAAAGCTATTTGAGAATAATGCCCCAGAAATTTTACCGAGGGGGAAACCGCTGACCAAAATCTTGTACAGCAATGCCCACTAATGCCCAGTGGGTATTACTTTATCTTGTTATCTTATTTTGTCTCCTTTATCTTGTTTTATCTTATTTTATCTTTATAATGCCCCAGCGAGGCCTCATGCCCAAACTAATGCCTCAAAAATGCCTAGTAATGCCCAGTAATGCCGCAAATCTGTACACCACAATGCCCTCAGCGGTTTTCCCCTCGAATTTTACCTTTAAAGACAAATACCTCGGCAAAGAAGCGTTATAAGAAAAAATGTTATAGGAACTTGTGGGGTTAATTTTACCTCCTCTACGTGTCCACGAGAGATTGCTAGTCTTTCCGGGGACACTCTGACACATGTATAAATTAATAGAGTTTTATGGATGTAGATTTGTTCCCATACGGATTCGAGTGGCGAAGATGCGTTACTCGATGCTTACTCGCTATCAATTCTCGACTTTCTGCCTAGATCGTTTGTCGTTTCGAAAAATTACAGTGCAGTATTAGCGGACCGATTTACGCCCTTGTCTCGCAGTCCACAGATACCACGTCAAAGTATGACGATTTACGGTAATACATAGACTCTTGCTCAGGATTGCGATTTTCCCGCGGTAGATTCACGGGGTCGCGGTCTCTGCAGAGTTTCGCATCGACGACTTCGTATCGAAATTTAGCGGCGCACGCTCGAGCGCCAATCCTCGCAGATAAAATCCTCGTGAGTTGCAGCGACGCGGGTTATATTTGGCCGGACGAATGCCAATCTTTCGATATACGCACGCACGCGAACGTTACCGCGCGCGGGTGATATCACGTCGTAATCGGGCATCCGCGAAATCGCCGCTCGTCAGGGTTATCGTGCCAGGCACGATCGTTCGGCGCGGCCGTGCGAAATGATCGGCCAGCCTAGCGCAATCGATGCCGTATTGCCCGCGCCTTTCGGCTAGGCGGAAAGAAAGAGGGAGGGAGATTCATACATGAACGTGGAACGACAGATAGGGAAACAGATAAGCATATCTGAGTCCCCCGATACGTGTACACCGAGCTAATAAGCCAATTTATGACACGATCGACGTCGCGATAGAGACGCTGGAGGAGAGCGTGTGCCGTTCCATCCCCGTCAACTTGTCGATCGTAAACTCGAGCTTGTTGAAAATAGCTCGAACGGCGGATATTTGTTTCTCCGGTTTATCCGGCGCGGCGATATCGCGCGGTGTTTTTATAGTGGCATCCCCTCATTTTGCCAAGGGAAGGTCTGTTTATTGCTACGTCGATTGAAGCTGACGTTTGCGAGTTAGGTAGGAAGTCTCGAGAAAACTCAACTGCGTCATCCTTTCAGCCCGTTTATTAACATGCTCCGTCGTGTAAATATTGCCGATAGCTTCGCTGCTCTCTTCAGATGTCGTTGAATGCCTCGACGTACAATTCACCTTCGGATAACTTTAAACACAATGCCATCGATTACTGAATTATGATATTCCTCGCACTTATGAAGACGTGTACCTTTTTTACGTTGATCATCCGCGTGTACATTACGCAACTTTTCTTATCTAGCTCTGCGAGTGGCCGGAGAAGCGGCTCGTATCAATACAGTGACAGCATAATCACGTCTGTGTAATAATTCCTCCTTTCCACCGCAGACGAGCAAAACAACTTTTCCCGTACGCTCCTCGGCACCCCATGAAGAGCCCCTCGCATTCTAGCAAGCTCTAAAGTTGAAGAAGCACCTTTCGCATCTCGGCGCGAGTTGAATCAACCGCGCAGCGCCGATTTTCCAATTAACAGCCGCTTCTCGGCATTAAGGCGAGCGTAGTCGGGCGCTCGTGAAGGAGACGTTGCATCAATCGCTGAACATCTCCTGACTTTCTAACCGCGTAGGTATCACTCGTCGACAGTTGACCTCGGCCCTGTTGCATGCACCACGGGCACCCCGCGGTGAAACTTCCTGTCGCGTTATTCCCCGAGAGATGCTCGCGCAGTCCCCGTTATTACAACGCCGAAAGGCCCCGTCGGGCCACTCCAGCAGCTGTTTCCACTTTCCCGAAGAGGCACCCACCGCCGGACGTTACCAAACTGCGCGAGTCTGCGACGGAAGCTCGTCAAGTTTCCAAATGATTTCTCCGCCGTCACCGGAGATTCATCAATCGCTCGAATCTCACCGTGATAATCGTAATCGATCGTAATCGTGCGCAAAGTATCGCTGATACCACCGATGTAAGTGTGTGTTTTTGCATTTGGTCGAGAGAAAACCCACACCGAATAAAATATCTAATAAATCCACTGGATATCTACATATCCATATGGGGTCCATAGCTACTACGGACCTAATAGATGTGTGCAATGTCTATACCGCTGAAGGCATTGTGGTGTACAGATTTGCGGCATTACTGGGCATTTTTGGGCATCAGTTTGGGTATTAGGCCTTGTTGGGGCATCATAAGGATAATATAAGATAAAATAAGATGAAATAAGATGAAATAAAATAAAATAAGATAAAACAACATAAATGAGATAAAATAAGATAATAAGATAAAGGAATGCCCACGGGGCATTAGTGGGCATTGGTGTATGTACAAGGTGCACCTGT